TCCACCACTACTCTCTGGGTGCGCCCCATCAGCCAATTTTTTACCCATCCAACTGTGCAGGCATCAATGCCACAGTCACTTAATCTATTGATGAGGATGGTTCAAGATGAATGGTTGCTCCTTAAGGAAGCAATCACAAAAGCACAAGGGAAGTCCATTCCAGCCCATAGGAAAGGTAGTAAAAGGGCTCAGCAACCCCTTTAGCTCAACAGGGAACTCATGGACCTCCTACATCTAAAAAGAGAAGCTTATAAAGGACGGAAGTGACCCTGTGACCCTGCTGGCAGCACTGAGGAAGCTTGGTGGGGGGGAAGGGGGAGAGGGGTCTGGACCCCCAGCAGGTCACTGGCAGCAGACGAGTGACTGTGGGCACCTCCCCCGCAGGTATCAGCTTTCTGGTTATTCACTCCTGTAGGGAGCAAACTAGGAAAGCCAAGGCTGTAACTGAACTCCATCTGACTATACGAATCAAGGACAATAAAAAGTCCTTCTTCAGATATGTAGGAAGTCCAAAAAAACAACCAAGGGCATCATTGGACCCCTGCTAAACCAAATGAGGCAGCTGACAACCGACACCCAGGAAAACGACAACCTGCTTAATGATTACTTTGCGTCAGTCTTTTACCAGCCCAAAGGGACCACACTACCTGACAAGATGTGGGATGTCAGAGTGAGAGTGAATATACACCCACTGTTGGCATAGATCTTGTGAGGGAATACCTTGAGAGGCTGGACACACACAAATCAGCTGGTCTGGATAGATTGCACCCAAGAGTGCTAAAGGAACTGGCAAACATCATAGCGTGGCCACTGGCAAGGATATTCAAGAACTTGTGGTGCTCGGGCAAAATACCTGAAGATTGAAACAGGGCCAACGTGGTGCCTATCTTCAAGAAAGGGAGGAAGGAAGATCCAGAGAACTACAGGCCAATCAGTTTGACCTCAATCCCTGGAAAAATCTTGGAAAAAATTAGCAAAGAAAACATTATCGACAGGCTAACAGAAGGCAACATTCTGAGGGACAGCCAGCATGGGTATCTTGCCTGACCAATCTCATTTCCTTCTATGGCCAGGTGATGTATGACCTGGACAAAGGGGAAGAGGTTGATATATTTGGACTTTAAAAAAGCCTTTAACCTGGTGTCCCATTATGTCCTCATGGAAAAATTGGGGAACTGCAGCCTCAACTACCCTACAGTCCAAAGGCTGGGATTCTGGCTCCGAGATCAGACCTAGAGAATGGTAGTTGACGAAACTGAATCAATGTGGCACTCAGTGACCAGTGGTGTACCCCAAGACTCCATTCTTGGACCTGTACTCCAATGTCTTTATAAATGACCTGGATTCTAGTGTCAGAAGTGGACCGGCTAAATTCACGAGGGAAGAGTGCCCACGCTGGAGGACAGGCTGGTGATCCAGGCCAACCTCAATAGGCTTGCAAGGTGGGCGAAGGAAAACCTGATGGCATTCAATACAGAGAAATGCAAGGTGCTCCACCTCAGGGGGAAAAAAACCTGCATCATACTTATAGGCTCAGCAGTACTACACTCGCTAGCACCACAGCCAAAAGAGACTTGGGGGTCATGAGTAAGCACAAGGTGAACATAAGCCACCGATGCGATACCGCAGTCAGCAAAGTGAATAAAACTCTGACTTGCATCTACTGATGTATCTCAAGCAAGACCCATGAAGTCATCCTCCCACTGTACCTGGCTTTAGTGAGGCCACAGCTGGAGTATTGCATCTAATTCTGGGCTCCACAATTCAGAAAGGATGTGGAGAAGTTTGAGAGAGTCCAGAGGAGAGCCATGCACATGATCAGAGGGCAAGAGAGCAGGCCTTATGAAGATAGGCTGCGAGCCATGGGACTCTTTAGCCTGGAGAAGTGTAGGCTCAGGGTTGACTTGGTGGCAGCCTATAAGTACATGAGGCATGTGCATCAGAATCTGGGGGAATGCTTGTTCACCAGAGCACCCCAAGGGAAGACAATGACCAATGATCACAAACTCCTGCAAGACCATTTTAGGCTGGACATAAGGAAAAACTTCACCGTCCGAGCCATGAAGGCCTGGAATAGACTCCCCACAGAGGTGGTGCAAGCACCTACTCTGGACACTTTCAAGAAACATTTGGATACCTATCTTGCTGGGATCCTTTGATCCTACCTGACTTTCTGTCCCTTGGGCAGGGAGCTGGACCTGATGATCTTACAAGGTCCCTTCCAGCCCTAATGTCTATGAAATCTAGGAAAAGAGTGCATTCCCCTACAGAGTCATGTTGCCCAGTGGACAAAATACTAAATTGGGACCCAGATCTGAATTCTAGTTTTGCCTCTGACACTTTTCTGCTGATTGACCCCATCGCCATGCTTCAGTTATCCATTTCATAATACAGGAATAATTGTACCAACCTTTGAATTCTCTAAAAACTAGCTAGGAAGTAGCACATGAAGACTGCATGAAGAGTTGCACATGTACATATACAAGCATGAAGAATGCATTTAGAGTAGTATATGAAGAGTAGTACATGTAAGAGCTATGTAGTAGTACAGGCATAGTGTTAGTAGTGGTATCCAACATGCTGCATCTGACAGGAATCTCATTACCTTTTCTTCACCCATCACAGCAGTGTTTCTATGTAAAGAAATGCTGTGATAAATGATTTTTTTTTTTTTGCTTTGTTTCAATGGTTTTTTGGAACCTTAGAAGTTCAATCTTTAAGTTGTAAAAATCATTTTATAGCTGTGTGGTTCCTGGAAGGTCTTCATTGGTCACTGTGAAACAAATGTCCAGATTACTACTGTGATGTACACAAGGCGCAAGCTGAACATTGTAGAAAATGAAAAGGAATCTCCCCAGTGCACATGATATGGCATTGCGCATTTGACCAGAACTGTTATGGTAGGTATATCCTTCCTATGCAGCACTACTGACCGCTGCCAGTAGAGGATGCAACCTCTGATAGTCTGACATGCAAGGGAAATCATGTGTAAAAACAAATATGTCTGAGCCATGAAAAAAGGTTTGGTGGTTCCTCCACTATGGATGAATAACTCTTCAATTCCTGTTAGCTGGATACTTTACAGGGAATACACAGTACCCCTAAATCACATAACTGATGAGGGGGTAGTGGGAGGTACCTTTGTGCCAGCTTCTCTTAATTTTGCCTTTGTGGGTAGATTTGGCACCTCAGTGGAAACTGGCCGAAATTTGAACTGCAAGTTCCTGTTGATTTATTGAGATCTTCCTCAGATCTTGGGAACTGCAGATCAAAGTCAGTTGCATAATGGGGAAATAGCTTCACAGCATCTGTCAGTCCCCTGACTGATAAGGTCTCTTTGCTGAACCTCCCCTTTTAAAGGGAGAGTCCACAGAGAGCAGGTTCTACCCAAGAGTTTATGCAGCCTCAGGGCTTCTCTATACCACAGAGACAACAGGTCCCAGCAAGGACAGGGACATGTCCTTCCTGTATCCCACTTCTCCCAACCCCTCCATACACTCACACCTGCATTCACAGGCAGTCTCCAAACACAGAACCAGGTTAGTGAGGCCATCCCAGGCTCATTCCTTTGCACCCACTTGCAAACCTTCAGTGGCCCAAGCAGCCACTGGGGGCAACCTCATTGGAAGCCTGGAAAAGCCTTACTAGAGAATGTCTGGGTTTGTAGCACATCCATAGGTGGGGGTGGGTTAGTTGTGCTTTGCCCTATCCTGGCCAAGACTAACCATCACCACAATGTGGACAAATCCTCAGGGGAACTGCAGCACCCAAATACTCTGGATAGGGGTCCATAGCCCATATGCTGTGGATTTCATGAATTCTCCTGCCCTAAAGAACATGACTATTTGCCAAGACCTCTGCTACATTCCAGTGGCTTTCCCCAGCCAGTCTTACTTTGAGAGGACTTCAGTGGGTGAAATGAGCTGACTCTGGTGAGGCCATGAGGGTAGATGTTGTAAGGCCGGCTTGCCAGGTTCCTGAACACAATCTGAAATGACAAAAACAACAACACTTAGAACTCTGATACTCCTTTGTGTTTCAAAGCGCTCCTCAAAGCCATGCTTCTTCACAATCCCTGCCCCACAAGTACCTTGGGCACCCAGACTAAGACACTCTAAAGAGTCCTGGTTGTCACATTCTGCTGAGCACTAACCCAGTGAAAACCAGACTTTTATAAGGTGTCTTCTGGAAATCACCCAGAAGCTGAGACACTCAACTGAGGCAGGCAGAATCCTTCAGGTAAGGGAGAGATATTAGACTTTCAAAAAGGTTTGAGTTGCTTCTGCCTGCCAGCCACCATTTCAGCCATCCTATTTGGATTGGTCTTAGCCTTTCCTGAGGTCTTTGTTTCAGTCAGATCATGGGAGAGCATAGTAATGGTACAATTATTAGATGGTAGGTAAGTATTATTAGTCCCATTTTACAGATGGGAAAAATGAGACACAGAAAGACTGAAGCTAAATTTTATGGATGGCCATAATTAGGCACTGATAAGATGTTCGAGTAAATGGCCTGACTTGCAGTAGTACTGAGCATTCCTAAATACCCTTGGCTTCAAAAGTGGCTATGAATGTTCAACCCTTCTGAAATTCAGCACACTTCCTTAGCTTTGTTAGCCAGGAAGTCTAACTCTAGGTACTGCACTTTGAAGACATAGACTTCAGTCTGTTGCCTGAAGCCACAAATGACTCAAAAGCAGAGAGCAGAACTCAGAAGCTGCTGAATCACAAGCCATTCTCATATAATAAACCATTCTACCTCTCCCATTGATAAATAAGTCAAAAGAGTCATTTGATAAAAGAGGAAGGCAAGATACAGAGTACACATAGAACAGCCTCACCAGGCACTGTGCATCAGAAGCCCTTGCAATCAGCACCCTTGAAGAAAATTCAAGGAAAGAAGTGGATTATCTGTCTAAGAAGAATCTGCTGAATGTCATACACTATCTGTGGGTTAATGTGATGCTTGAGGGTGATTGCATTAGAGACAAATCAAGAGCACTGAGCCAAACCCACCCCTAAGGCATCATCCCTGAAGTCATCAAGGATTTTATCTCTATATTTTATATCTTCCCCTTTGGAGGACTTTAGCCTTTGTAAAAAAGGGCCCTAACCCATACAGAATTATATTACAGCCACATCATCAGACCACAGCAATGAAAAGGAATCTTGTGGAAATGCAGTCAAAAAGCTTCCCACCTTCCCGTTCCAGCCCATCTGTCCAAAATCCAGGAGCTCTTTCTTTCTTACCATAAACTGATCCCCAACTTCTCCTTTAAGAACCGGTCCCAGAATTCCTGTGTCATGTTGATTTGCCACCTTGTGCTTCTTAAAGGTCCCATCTTCATATTCCACATATATCACTTTCTTGTACTTTGAACCTATGCGCTGAGGACCAGCTTCCAGATACTTATTTGTGTCATTTCTACAAGAAGCAGAAAAGGAAGGAACGAGTGAGTCAAGGCACAATTCCAAGAAGCAGACACAGGAAAAGATGATGATGGAAACAACAACAACCTTGACCTCTAAGGCTCCAGCTGACACTAACCTCAAAATAATAACCTGCCAACTCAGACACAGTAGCACCAGTCCATAAGAAAATGGAATAATAATGTTAATAATAGCTATGGTACACCTTGTCATAGACCAGGGCTCTGTACAAACACAGATCAGACATTCCCTTCCCTGGAGAACAATCTGAACTCAGACTACTTTTCCACAACCTTAGGGTTGAATTCTAACACTGGCTAGAAAAAGAGGAAGCCTACAACAGATGGTATTGTCAGGAAGGCTTATTTGTTGCTGCTGCCCATGTACTGTCCTGACAGGAAATGGTGCCTGTACAAGAGCAGGGAGCCTAGCACGTGTCCCTGTGTTAATTAACACCCAAGTGTGCTGAAATCACATGGCAGAGGAATCCTTTCTTTGGCCAGTGCAGCTGCCTTACAACAAGCTTTGGCCCACATCTGAAAAGATGCCATGTAGTATGGTAGTCCATTCAGCCCTTGTTTTTGAGGGATCTGAAAAAGGCTCCAATCTGAGTGAGCTGTGATTGTGATCTCTGTGATACAGGCAGCTGTCCTCTGGGAACTGGGCTGAGTCTCTCTGAATAAGAAGATCCCTGTAACCCTGCTACTGGGTCAGCCCCCTGATACCTCTACTTCAAACACATAGGCTTACATGAGCAGACTGATTAGTGTGACTGAGGACAAATGCCACACCCTGGCAATGCTGATTAAGATGATGTGGCTGTAATATAATTCTCATGTCATCATTACCAAAAAGAAGGGGAGTAACATTAACTGTTAATCCACTCTCATGTGTGGTACAGATCCTTCCATTCAGGGCAATTAAATCACACCACTTAACTGCAGAAATGGAAGCCAAGACATATCCCTGGTGTAGCTCCACTGAAATCAGGGGGAAGAGATGCAGCATGGCCCATTAGGTCACCCTTTGTACCCTTGCAGATTAAGAGTATAATTGGTTTTTGCTATGGATTTCTCTGCTCATAGAAGGACCAGGTTCAGAAACCCCTTCAGAACTCTGCTCCTGTGTCATATAAGGAGGGATTGATGGCCATCAGAAGAAAAGATTAAACACTTTCCTTTCTCCTGGGAACTGACCTCATCATTTTAATGACCTTCCCAACCTCCGACAAATGGCTGAAGGCGACATCAAACTGTGGTGCCTGTACAAGATTGCTCAGGAAGCCTTTATTTTAGCCTGTTATGTTTTTCCATCAGCCTGATGATATTGTTTCTATCATTGCTTAACATACTCTCATCTTAGATTATTATTAACAGCAGCTTTCTTTGCATCAGGTTGCATAGGCAGAAAGTAATAGATGTTAAAGGACTGCTTTATCATGTGTGACTTGCATGGCTCAACTTATTATCAGCCAGCATTAGGGAATATGGATGAAATAGATGGGGTCAAATTCAGCACTCAGTTGCATGGGTCTGCATGGCTATAACTGATAAAAATACTCAGCCACCTACATCTTTGTCCCAACTTCAAATACTTAGCATTAATGAAAAAGCAGCAGACTGGCAATGGGCAAAGTCTGGTGGAAGCTTCAAGGTGCTTTTAAAAAGGAGAGGAAATTTTACAGAGAGGTCTGGAAACACTGGGAAGAGCCTGTTTCTAGGCCCAGTCCCATGCTTTGGCCATATTAACATGCTCTCACCTGTCCAGGTAAGTTGATTTCCTTGGGGCATAGTCCCAATCCACCTCTTCAGCTGCAATGTAATGTGTCCAGGTCATGGGCTCTTGCTTGGCAAAAGAGCGTGCATGGACTACAGCAAAAGAACTTTCCTCTTCTAATGCAATCTCTCTGATATCTGTATCATAATCATTATAATATTCATCAGATGGTTCATCTGGGGCCAGCCTCATCTTCTTCACGGGCTCTTCTGGGCAGTCTTCCACAGTAATGTATGCCTCCATGCCAGCTGAACATAAATGGGCCAGGCAAAAACATTAATCTCTCTCTTTCTCCTCAAAGATCTAGATATAGTTTCATTATTATCCCCATTTTGTCTGTCTCTTCCTCAGATGGATGCACAATTCTCTGCCCATGTTATCTGTCTTTGTAAATAGGTTGATGTAGTAAGATGAAAGGGAAAACTGATTAGGAGAGGAATGAAATGGGTTAGCGGAGGAGGGCAGTGATTTATATGTATGTGCCAATAGATTAATTAAGGAAAGTATGTACACAACAAACTCCAGAGCAGCTAGCCAACAATCTACTGGAAGTTAACCAGTTATCAGTTTAGTGTTTGCATCTCCCTAGAGTTTGATTTTTCAGAATGAATTACATCCAAACTCTAGGGAGATGCAAACACTAAGATGACAACTGGTTAACTTCCAGTAGATTGCTGGCTGGTGTTGTTTTTTCTGCTTCTTGAAATCATACAGAAAATACGTGAATCTAGTACAGATTCTGGACCAAATCTAGAGATGATTCTAAGTAATTCCAAGTGGGCCCAATTCTCTTGCCCCTTATATTTGCATTCTACTGGCATAAAGTGATTTAATGTTATGGGACTTCTCCTGATTTACACCAGTTATAGGGAGAGTAGAATCAAGCATGCTTTGACTTTATTCATACACCATGCACTGCTGTGTTGCCAACCCCTCCCTCTTTCAGAGAATTTCTGACTTCACCCCTGGGTCTAATGGAGTTCAAGATTGTGTAACACATGGGTCAAATAGCCAGAAAAGATAAGAGTAGCAGGAAAAACTCTGGGGAGGTGTAGCTGAAGCTAAAGGAAGGAGGGGGAAGCCAAAGACCCTGGAGACAGCAGCAGCCAGTGAGGTGGCAGGACTAGTGCCTAGGGCCACAGGCCACAAGCCACAAGTTGGATAGCTGTAGTCTACACTATAAAAAAGATGCAACCCCAGCTGACTAACTTGTGTTAAAACAGCAGTGAAGAAAAAGCAACCCCAAGCTGAATTTATGCTGCTAAGTGGGCTTGCCTTCACTGCTATTCTAACCAAAGTTAATGACACACTTTTTTTTTTTTAATGTGGACATACCCCATCTGAGTATGAGTGTGTTGGGCCTTGGGTCACACTACACATTTTTCCTCCCAGCCCATTCCTCCTCTTTCTCCTTCCCTTGAACAGTCCTGGTGCACTGCAGATGTTACCTTGCTGGTGAGATGGAATCTGACAAAACATCAGGAATCTGCCACTGGAGACAGGCATGGTCTGGGCTGTGAGGAAGGTTGCTGGGGAGATCTCTAAAATGGCGTGCCGGTGGTTCCTCACCAAGAATGTATGACCTTCAAAGAAAATGGAGTGTACTTCTGGTGCAGTGCCCAGTCCAATGACATGCCAATGAACTGGCCTCTTCAGGCACAACTTGAGATCTGCCCAGGAGAAAGGAAAAGTATAACCATAACACAACAGCTCAGAGAATCCTACACAAGTGTCCTTCAGTCCACACTTAATCACAACATTCATTGATGCAAATAGCTCAAATCCAGAGGCATGCTAAGCATGGAGATCCAGTCTCACTGGCTAGGGACAGAAGTTACACATAAACCGGTTTAAGTGATAGGAAATTGGTTTAAACCTGTAACAGAACAGAAATTCAGTGCACATAAACCAGTTTCAAAATGACTGAAACTGGTTTAAAATAAACCTGGTTGAATGTAGTATCAGACCCAAACTGATTTGGGTCAAACCGATTTATGAAACCTCTGTCCCAGGCCCCTTCCTGGTTCAAGTTAAATCACAGTCCCCCAGCAACCCAGCATGCTTTCCAGCCCTGAGCTGGGCTGTGCTATCTACTCCAGAAGAGAAGGTTTGGGGGGGGGGGGTTAAGCTTCCCTTCTGGGCAAACCCCAGCTGGGGTCTGGGGCCAGGGAGGGGGGTTAAACTTCCCTTCCCCTAAGTACAGAGCCGACCTGCCCTGCCCTCCTAAAAACTTAGTGCTGGGTGTGACTGTGGACTACAAATCCCAGAGGCACCTGGAAGCAGGAAGAAGAAGTGATAAGCAACCCTGAAGAGTCTAGCTGTTGTGAGTCTGGACTGCAAATACCAAAGACCTCAGGGGCAGAAGGAAGAGGAAATGAACACACAACCCATGCTGCCTTTGTGCCAAAGAGCCATGCTCTAGTGCCCCCTGGCTTCTGGCCTCAGCCACTGCACGTTTGTGGCTGCATTTCCTGAATCAAAAGTAAATGTCTATGTAGTTGTTTCTCAGTTTAATCTCTGCAGTTTAGACTAACCTGCCAAGACTGAATCAATTCAGCCTCAGGCTTTTTGACTCTCTGTACTTAGCCACTGGGATCTTTGGCTTCTGCTGGGAGCTGCAGACATTCAGTCTAGTGGAAGCGGTCCCTGAATAAGGACTGAGTAAATAAAGAGGAACAGATGCTGGCTGCCTAATGGAATTCACAAGGTAAGCAACAGTGAGGAATCACAACTGGTTGGGGGTATGTTTGCTGGAGTTCAATGAGAGTCAGTCTTAAGCCTGATGTTATTCAATATTCATCATGATGATGTGAAATTAAATGCAAAATCCCTGTGGATAATTTGTGGAGGACAGAAAATTTGATGGAGTGGTAAATAATGAAGAGGACAAGTCTGTCACATAGAGCTATCTAAACTGCCTGGTAAGCTAAACCAATTCCAAAGTCGTGCATCTAGGAACAAGAAACAGAGGCCAGACCCACAGGGAGTACATTCTGGAAAGCAGTGATTTTGAAATGGGTCCCAGAGCTGTAGTGGAACAGCAGCCCAACATCTGCTTTCAATGCAAAGCTATGGCAAAAGGCTAATGTCATTCTTGGCTACATAAACAGGATACTAGTAAACAGAAGTAGGAAGGTGATTGTATTCCTGGTCTGGAATTATGGATCCAGCTCTAGTGTCTATGTTTTAAAAGAGAAGGTGAAAAATTGGAGAAGGTGCCTTTCTGGATGATATGCTAAACAGTAGTTATTGTGATCAGTGCTGAAGTAACTTTTACAAATCACAAAATTTAACAGATAGAAAGCCAAACTGGATAATCTTATGGTCCTCTCTAGCTTTAAACTCAATGACTTTGTGAAGTTAAAACAAATTTAGCTATGGACTTTAAGAGGAGAAGGGTCAAGCTGGTCCACAGGAATGAGAAATAGAAAATATTTCCCAGTCTCCTTGGGAAACATTTGCTGTTCCTTTTTTATCCAAAAGCATTTGGGATACAATTCTGGACCAATAAAGATGACTGACAACTTTGTCACTAACTTCAATGGATATTTTTATTTGTATGAAATATACCACAAACATAAAATGAACTGGTGTCATGCTGGACTGTCCCTGCAGTGTTTTCTTAAGTGCTTCCTCTAGTCCAGTTTTAAAGATGGACAATATAACTTCTTAAGGTCCTTTCTAGCCCTAATTTTGTATGATTTCATGATCCTATAAGTGATGAAGCATTCTCCTATGATAGTACCTGGAAAACTCAGCTGAGGCTGAGTACTATATTCTGTGCAAACATATATTGTGAAACAGTCCTTGCCAAACTCACTTTCTTTTGCAGTCTCCATTCCCTTTTCCTGTACAAAGGCTCATACTTACCAGGCAGAGAGCCATTTATATAGCCATTGATAGTATGCAGCTGAAGCCTGTTGTGATGCAGGGGCTGAGAAGTTCTTGGGCTGCTAGATTCAGAATACCAGCTTTTCCCTGGTAACAAAGAAGAAGATCATCATGCATGGTTTTACAAATGTTTCCAAGTACAACTCAAAGGATTAAGGGTTATGCCACCCTCCACATGTGTGTTCTGCTACAAAAGTTAATGCTTGCTGGGAGGCTGCTGGGAGGCCTTTTCACTGTTCATTCAGGCTGTAGGCCAAACATCAATTTACTGAAATTTGCATCTGATTGATTCCTTCTGGTGCCCTTGATGTTCCATGTCAGCCATGTTTCTTTTGAGCTCTGCATTCTGTATGTTTTTAGTGGTCTCACTGTAGTACTACTGTTTTAGTGCTAGTCACTGGCACCTCACTTCAGCAAAGCAGCTTGTGCTAGATGCAATTTACTGGTCAGATGGAGAGATAGAACTATAGTACTGTATCTGAGATGTGCTCAGGTACTACTACAAGATGAGAAACAAACTTAACTGCAAGATAACTGAACATCCTTAATTCCCACTGAAATCAACAGGAGTTGAGATTGCTCAGAACCTTCTAGGATTGGGCTTTAAAGACACAGATTTCATCACAGTCTCATGTTAACTATCATCTGCTCTGATTTCCATTTTATTCCAAACACCAAAGGGGATGTAAAACCTTGCAAAAATGTAAAACCTTGCACCTGGCCCTTTCCAAGGGATTCAGAATCAGTGATTTTGCTTCCAAAATAGAAAGGATTGTCCAGTGCTCTGAGTCCAATGTCCAACTGGAGCCATTATTCAGAACTGCAGTGCAGGAGACCAGATTTCAAAAAGTAGCTCTGCTCCCTTGCCCAATCTAAGAGGGCTTCAGAGACATTGTGCTCAGGTTCCTGTTGGGAAAGAGATGCTTCTGCAGCCAATTAAGGAGAGAATGATATATCTGAAAAGGACTATCACCTTTTACCAGTTCTAAATGAAAATAAATGCATTAGAGAAGGAAATATGCTATAACCCATTTCAACTGCTTTAAGGTGCATAGGGCCATACTGGTTTTGTTTATAATATCTAGCTGTGTCACCACTCATCATGGCCAGCCAAATCTGGTCACCTCACTCCTGCTTCCTTACCTTCATCAAACACAGAGAAGAGCAGCACAAATTCTTGCAGTGCGTCTCTGGTTCCATCTTTGGTCAAAGTCCCTATGAGAGATGCAACAGAAACATTAAATAAAGAACAAGAATAGTGTTGTATCTCCCTCTTTCTCCTGAAGAACTCATGGAGGTGGCTAATCCAAGGCCAAGGCTGGGGTGCGTTTGTCCTGTCATGGGTGACTTGGATAAGAAGCAGCAGCACTTTGTATGGAGTTTGATTCTTACCTACAGCTGTTTATGGCTTTGTCCAATGCGGAAGTGACAAGGGCACTACCTAATGGGGGAGATCTGATGCTGTGCCCCATCTAGTAGGGTTGGTCATAAGGGAGAGGGCTGCCAAAATGAAACAGGCCTGCCACCTAGCTACGAAGGAAAGGCTCCCTGCACTAGATACTGATGAGAAAGCACAAAGTGTCCTGTCCTCCTGACTTTCTTGGGATATGCAAGCTTTTTTTAACAGCCTGGATCCCCTCTGTCACCTCAGTCCTCCACATCTTAGAAGCTATTGGAAACTAAGATTTAATATGCCTCCATACTGGTAAAACTGTAGGGATCCTGCATGGAAGAAGCAAAACTATCCCAAATGAGGCATCAACTCTGCACATCCTGCATCATTGCTGTGTGACCTTTGGCTCCTTGCTGGTATCCACCCATCTGTAACTGATCATATCAAATCCATGGATCTATGTGGAAAAGTACCTGGATTTACATTTAATAATCATAGCATAGGTGAAGGCTTCCAAAAACGTAGACAAATAGTCACACCCTGATAAGATTACCTTAGTAATAGCTTTGGCATCTCCAGGAAAGTTTTGGATAAATACAGTTAAAATCTGAGTCACGGATTCAGTCACAGTCTGAATATTTTTG